AAGGTTTCAAACAGTAAATCCTATTTAGTTGTAATTAAATTCTGTTAAGATCAATTAAAAGCTGAAATGTTTGTTTTTTCTAATAGAGAAAATAAGTGTTAACAAAATAGCATCCGAGCTCGTCTTCAATGTGCAATCGAAATAACATTGATTGAAGTTTTTTTCTCATTTACTATATTTCAACGTGTTTTGACTGTGAACATTCAAGTATTTTAATTAAATGCTAACTGTTATTTTTGTTGTATATTATCATGTACAGCTTTTGACAAGCCTTTTCCTATGCATGGAATGTTTTATAAATCTCAAGAGGCTATACAATTAGTGTATATGCAAATCGAAAACAACTCTTAATCAAATGTTTTTATATGAGCCTTGAGCGTTCTTGTAAATCGTTCAAATGGCACGTTATTCGATAATAACTTCTATGGTAATAATATAATTATAGATATGAGAATATGAGCATAAATTTTTTGCAATTGATCAGCAAAATATTTTATGAAAAGAAAAACTAAAAGTACTCTTATGTCAATATGATTATACTAAAATCTCAATTTCCATCATTCTTTATTAATTTGCAAAGTCTCTTAGAAAGAGATCGGGTAGACCATTAAACGATACAGTTGGGTTCCTCTCGAAATTAAGTTTCACATTTTCTAAATGGTCAATTTGGATGTTAGGACTGAATTAATGTTTGAATTAAACAGTTAATCATTAGTTCGGATGTGCACGGTTGACTTAAAACTCGATATTACCTATTCTCTATAGAATCGTGGTATGCATTGTTCATTTAGAAAGTTTTCTTTGAGTTATACATTAAACGATAGTTCATTCTTTCTGCTAGAGCATGACATATCGAAATATGACACAATTATCTGTATGCTCTCGGAGAAGCAATCTGCTTTAAATTACATATTACTCGATGACTCTTTTGAAGATCGGCAAAATTCTACTATTACATGGAGCTTAATTTGTGAATAAGACATTTCACTCAAACGTGCAATGTTCGAGAACGCTAAACATGGCTCTTTTTAACTGATATATTTGATCTGGATAAGTTAGATTTTCTTTCAGAAGAAATGGTATATTTGAAATCCGCATAAAAAATTGAATTGATCTATATATGTTACACGATGATCCATCAACTTTCATTTTCTTTCAAATCTATTTAAATGAAGCTCGTTTATTTGAATAATTTATCAATAGTTCAAAATCCAATCTTTGTTCTTTGTATTTCGTTTTGTATGGAACGTTGTCATATCTTTTATGCATTTCAATTCGGTTACTGAGTTCATAGTTCAGCTGAACATGTAACAAATAGATTTTAATGAGCGTCGAACACTCGAATAAGATCACTAATTACTGGCTTCTACAACGCTACCTTTTTATGTAGAGCTATTCAGTACTTTATTAAAAAGTCACGTTGATCGATCGCGAAAACTTTATTGTTCATATTTATATCTTGGCCATTATAAGAGAAGTTATTATTCTAATAATATATCATTTAGAAGACTGGCTCGAGTATTCAAAGCTCATATAAAAACATTCGATTAGGATTTATTTTCTGTCAATATATAAAAACTAATTTTGTTCCAGCTCAAGATTTATGAAAGACTGTATGGGCAAGATGGCTCCATAAAGATTTGCCAATGCCTTCAAGAATTATGATCATTTCACTCTAATCATTGATGTACGAAAAAATTCAAGCATTTTCATCGCAAGACCTATATAATTTAGTGATAGTTCAATATTTTAACTTGAAAATTTTAGAGAAGCTTTTCTATATCTTGAGATTGTTTTATGAAAGTTTAAAAAAAAAAATATTCCACCAGAAGGATGGAACACACGAATAATCATCTTTTTAGTGTCGAGAATTCAGAAACAATAATATTCGAGTCAGTAAATTTAGGTTTTCGGATGAAGAAAGACCATAAATTGGGCTTAACTTTCATGTAAAAGTATTCAACATTAATCGTGTATTTGATAAAAAACAAGACAAACTTTAGTAGGCAGTCTTATAAAGTTACAAAGCTTTAGAAAAAATTGATTTCATTCATCAAAACTTTGTCTTAACTTTCGTGAGCGATATTCTGATGTTGCTGCTGACCTACATGTCTGATAAAATGTGTGTGCACACAAATTTTCCAATATCTATCCCTTATCATCACTGAAATCTAATCAAGAGCAACAGACTTTTGTCAAGAAGTCGATAAATAACGATGAAATTTAATTTTTCTTGTTTTTGCAAATGAATAAAAATGTTTTATTTATCTACAAATATAACTTTTAAGATAAATGTTTTTTAATCATGATAATCATCTGTTTTAGTCTAATAATTGTATTTTTTAATCGCTGTAGTTTTTCAAAGAATAATTGAATATTTTCTTGATCCATATCTTTTGTAATTATTAAATATTTTCGAATATAAATTAATGTCCATGATGTATAAATAATCCAAATATGATATTTTACTAAATGATAAATTAATTTTTCAAATGTATAATTACATAAACTTATATTATTTAGATTTTTATCACTATGAAAATTATTCATTAAATATTTTGACCATTGTTCCATATGAAAACAACGTATTGCACGTAATACACGAAGACGCATATCAAGTGAAATATTATATTGAATTAGGTCTTTATTTGAACAAATCATTAAACGTGACATATCATTATTCATTTTGTTCATTAAATCACAAGCATTAGAATGCGAAAAACCAATATGTGAAAGAAAACTTAAAGCTACACTTAACGATGTCATTTTTCACATAAAGAATAAAGAAATATTAATCGAAAATAAAGATTATGCTTGATTGAGAATAATGACCAGTGACACTCATGTGAAACCAGATGACGCCATAAATCAAGAATATCGAAGTTCATTTCACAATTTTAAAGACCAGAAATATATGTACGAATCGATCGGTAAACTTTTCAATTTGTAATGGGGAGTTACGCCTAATGACAAACGGCTTTGCAAATGAGACTTGTGCCATTCGATTGAGTCGACTGAAACTAGGCAAAACCTTCAATGATTCATACGTTTGTTGCTTTTCTTTTCAAGTTATGGACATTTTAATGAGTTTCTAGCCTAGTACAGAGTATGCCATAAAAAATTCAATATCGTCATTTCGACCTAAATTTTTGCGATGAAGAATTCTTATGAACTTTATGACACATGGAAAGTTTTCTTCTTCAAGTATCATATCCTCAACGAATCTCTATTTGTTATAAACGACTCACGAGGGAAAGTCCTCAAGTGTAGTTCACCGATTGAGCTCATCTTTCACTCATATTCAAGACTCGGTGGGATTAGAAGAGCTCTAAGAGAATTCATGTCCATATAGGAGATCTTTCTGAAGTTATGTCTATTTTTACTAGATTTTCGACTTGTGGCTCGGTATTATCAGAAAAATTGGAAAAGGTATATATTGGGAACTTTATCTAGAAACAGGTTTCACAGCCGATAAATACCATCTGGAGAGTTTTGATCGAAATAGATGATTCCATTTACAAACATACAAAGGAGAAATACATGGTTTTTCATTGAAAAAAAAAGAAAGTAAATCTTTTTCAGCATCAATATCTCTGGATGAGATGATCAGTTTGGTTCAAAATTTTCAGAACGATGTATTGACTATGCAACTTGTTTGCGGAAAACCTTTAGGATAAATATTTCCTCATTTGATTTTTCCGCTTGTATCGAATCACAAGTAAAAAAAATTGAATAGTCATACCTTCAGAAGGATCCTCCTCTGGGAATGAATTCTTTTAGGACTCTTCTAATCTTACCGAACCCTACGTGTTAATGAAGGATGAGTTCGATCGACGAGTCCACTTGAAGATCTCTCGTTAGAAAAATTCGACTTTCTTGTAAATCTTTTAATTCAAGAGGAAAAAATATTTGTTTCAGTTGAACCTTTGAATGTATGATAGAATCCATAAGACCTCGTCATAGGTAAAAGTTTAGGGTAAAATGATGACATTGAATATTTTATCAAATACTCAGCTGTTGGCTAGAAACTCAGTAAAATGTGCATAATTTTAAAAGAGAAGTAACATAATCACGAATCATTAGAGATTTTGCTTAGTCTCACGAAGAAAGACTTCCGAGTGCTGTCCTGCTAAAACTATTGCAATTATACTAAATTATTTTTCTCCTAGAGTGTATTTGTGAAAAACCAAAGTACGAAGTTTCAAGCTGAAAATTCTAGCCTAAACGGATATTTTCTTCTGGAAATATTGAATATCTAAAATCAATCATGAGTTGGAAAAAAAAACGTAAGGAAGCTCAGTGTTTTCAAGATTCAATATTTCAAAAAACAATACACCGTTTTAAGCAGAAATTTTCAAAACATTCTAAGATTCATGCGACATACCAATGCACAAATTTTAGATTGAAATTTGGTAGTTCGATTGTTACACAAATTCCTTGCCATAGATAAAAAAAATCAGATAAAATTGTAATAACTTAGAAAGAACAGCGCTTGAAGACTTACTTTTTAAAGGCTCCTACTAATCTTGATCGATCTCACTTATTAGCGAGTTACACTTGGAGACGTTCCCTCGTCAATGATACAAGTCTTGTTTCAAAGGCGATACGAGGATAATTCGTCGATGGCATGTTAATCTTAAAGTATCTTGAAAGAGAATTGCAAGAAGATAGGTTAGAGTATCGATGAGAGTACCCAAAAGACTCTCACTCGCGACGCATGGCCCGATCTCTGCACGAGCTTTTTATCATCTGGAGAGGCTCCTATGTTACATAAAAAAAAAAACAATCTTGATGAGAACTAATCTCAAAGATATTATTTATTATTCTTTGAATAAAAATAAATTGTATACATGAATTATTTCATTGATATATCGTGGAAAAAAATGATACATTGAATTTAAAGTGTATGAATAACTATGAATAATTAAATAATGTACTTAAGTTTAATAATAGGCTTAATGTTTAATATTTTTATATTAATTTCTTGTTTATCTCGAAAACTAATTCATTGTTTCAACTTTATCTTTAATACCAGAAAACCACTGTCCATCAGTTAAGAAATAATCATAATCAGAGAGTGTATCATAAAATTCATACTGTTCATTTAAGTATCCATTATTCATGTTTCCTTGTTGTAAATATTCAAAATTTGCATATTGTGTATGGTCTTTATCGATTTGATCATCATCTTCAGCAACAATACCAAGTTTAATGGCAATCCTATATTATTCAGAAAAATAAACTCAAGGAATAAAAAATAAAAATAACACAAACCATGCGAACTTTTCAAAAATACTTTCTTTTATTAAATCAAAACACATCGCTAACACAGCTAAACCAACAATTATATAAAGTGAAGTAGCCAGAAAACGTAAACCGTCTGTTGAACCTGACGTTATACCTGGTACCTTAATTAAATATACATGTAGAAATAAATCTATGAAAGCTTGTTCTTTTTTATTACATACATAATCACCAAATCCAATAGTAGCTAATGTAATATAACAAAAATAAACCGATTCAGTTATTGTCCAACCTTCAAATTGATGACACATATATGCTCCCAAACAAACATAACCAATTATAATTAAAATAATTACTAAAACAGGTATTTGACTTTCAACTCGATTCCAAACATCGTCTATTTCTTCAACATTATCATCTTTATAATTACTTAATTGATCTTCATTAAATTGATCATTTGCTTCTGGCCAACTTGGATCAATTGATATTGTACCTACATAATCAATTCTATATTGATTAAATGATTTTTTTCGAATGCATTGAACAATTTTGAGAACGTGTACGAATACGACAATAGCAACAAATACAACGAATAAATGTTGAATAAATCAAACGAAACATATCACCAAGCATAGAACTTATCTTTGTTAAACAAATAAGAAACATTGGAATGCCAATTAATGCGTAGCAAATACATGTGATTTGTCCTTCCCTTAAAAATATTTCGAAACAATGATTAATTTTTTATTATTATGTCATTTTCAGTGTGTTTTACCATGATATTGGTGTTATATGTCCAAAACCAATGGCTGTTATAACTGTTATTGTAAAAAGTAATGCTGATGGAAATGTCCATCCTGACGTAGTTGAACAATCTTGTCCTGTATATCGAAAATCACTTTTACGATCATATATATCATTTGTAAAATTATTCAAACAATCAATTATTTGCTCATAGATTATTGTTGTATTATCAGTTGATATAACAACATAATTATATATTGTTTCAGATAGACTTGCTATTGAAATTTCTTCGTCTACTATAAAAAGAACAAGAATTTAAAAGAACATTAATTCCAAAATTTCATACATACAACTAGCTAGTTGACAATTTTGTAATTCAATATATTGTTCGAGTAAAATAAAAAGAAATGTACCCCCAACACTATAGGCAACAACAAAAATAACTAAACCAAGATTCGACGCAAGAAATTGTATAAATAAACGATAGAATGTTTTATTTTGATTATGAGTTTCTTCATTTGTTGATGTGGTAATATGAGATGGTCGAGCAATCGGCATCTTACTGTCAGCTTTCAAAATTTGTAATGGAACAAAAGAAATCTTGTTTTTTTTGTTTTGATCAAACAATGATAACATTATAGCCGACAAGAAAAATAAAACGGAAAACATGTATATTTTCTCGATTGAATAAGGAAAGTAAAATAAAGATGGATGTCAACAAAAAGAAATTGAATAAACAACATATATTTAATAAAATACCAAAAAAAGAAGAAAGAGAACATAAACTAAAATCTTCGAGAATAGTACTGATGAACGCTTTTTTTTTTCTTAAACATTATAAAAAGAAAATGTTTGACCGTGTGAATATTTTTTCAACGAACCATTGTTTTAATAAAAAATTGAAAGGTATATTTTTTCTCTCGTATTTTGATAAAAAAAAATGAATTATTGATTAGTGACAGAGAGTGATGAATCTAAATGTTGTCTTCAATTAGACATACGTTGTGAACTAAACGAATTTTTTAAATTGTATTCATTTCAATATATTTAGATGAACAACACTTACATTATGATTCTTTGCGTGAATTCTCTTTTTTTTGTATAGAATCCGATTTTACTCAATTATTCATTAATATCAATCGTTACAACAAATTTTTAAAGGTCACATTGATGTTCTATCGAGAAGTTTTGAAGTATTAAGTAGCTTGATATGAAAAATAGAAAGCAAAATCTATAAGTCATTGATAAAAAGTTGATTGTTTATCTAACCTTATAAGAGAATTATACCAACTGACAGTCGTTATTCGAGCTCATCATAAGTGGAGAGAGAGGTCTGAATGAGACTAGAAATCGTTTGAAAGAGATCGTCTTCATGGATCTTTGGCACTGAACAATGATCGGTTAACCACAATTTTTACTCCTTTTTAGGTAGTACTCGAAAAACTGAATAACGAAATTTCGATCTAAAATTTTATACATCAATAGGTATAATAACGTTGACAATATTACATGACAAGGAGCTACATTTGGAAATTCAATATCTTGACGAGGATATATTCTAAGACTCGTTAGACCTATTTACAGACGAAATTTTAGATCGAAATTATAGTAAACCAGTCAAAATTCAGTGCTGAAAGCCTATGAACCAAAACTCTGTTAGATGTTTAATAATCTCATCGAAACCTCCTTATTAGAGCCCATCGAATTTTGTCTGGATGTGAAAATTTTGCATTTGATAGTCTCTAGTTATCTGAGAAATCTTTAGGATGTACTGTTCACCGAATAGGAAAAACTATCACGCATCTTCTAGACGATTATCCAATACCAATAAGAAATTTTCATTGAGTATCAAAGTAAGGTTCGACTTGGTTCAAAAATTTTAAACCCAATGGACTCTATTCTTCATGAACGTAATATGAGTTCAAACAGCGAACGTCAGCTGGTATAATTCCCTCGTTAATCTAACAGATTCATCATTTTTTATGCTAAGGTCTTTACATCAATAGATAACTGTGATGAACCATTTCTTGTAAACCTTAATCAAGTTTTCTTATTTAAAATGTTTTTCGTTTTTCTTCATCTGATTCTTTTATTCTTCATAACTTCTGCTCACTCATTCACAAAAAGAAAAAAAAAAGATAAACTAAAACGAGAAACATATGACATAATGATAAATGACATGTCAGATGTTACAATGTTTCTCACGAATACGCAAACAAAATCAACGACATAAACAGGACAAAGGCTTATTATTTCGACTTTAACATGAAGAAAACTAACAAGTTAAACACAAACACAATGACCAGAATGGTTTAGAGAATAAAATAGTGACGAAGAAAAAAAAAGATAAAAACGACGCTTTTTATTTTTGTTGTTGTTGTTATTGTTGTTTTTTTTTTGTTGATAGTTCTTCTTATTTTCTTAAACGGTTGTTTAGACTGATGATTGACCTCCATCTTGACCGCCGGTTTGATTGTCATTGTTCTAAAAAAAAAAACAATTTAAAAACATTGTTTCCAATAAAAGTAAAACTTACATCGTTGTTTGTATCATTACGGTTTCCTTGGCGAGCTCCGCGGAAGAATCGTCCACGACCACGGCCACGACTACGGAAAGGTCCACCACGACCACGAAAACCTAAATAACATGATTAATTATTTCGTATTTTCTAGACGAAAAAAAAAATACTTACCACCCATTGGTGGACCCATTGGACCTGGCATAGGACCCATTGGACCGCCTAACATTGGACCACCTCGACCACGAAAGACACGTGGTCCTCGACCTAAAACAAAAAAAATAAAATATCAACATTTAATTCATTTTCAAATAATCTTTCAAAAAACAAAATTACCAGCAAAATCGCCTTCATATCCATAGCCACCTCGAAGTGGTGGTCGTCCACGACCTAAATAAATTAAATTAGAATTTACTAAAACAAGAATAAAAATTTTCTATACCTCGTAACATAGGACCACCGAAACCTCGACCTGGTCGAGCAAAAGGTGGACGTCCAACCATTGGTGGTGGACCATAACCTTCGAATGGTTGACCAAAACCTTGATTATAACCATTATCAAAACCACCTCCTCGACCTCAAATAGTATGTATGTATAAGAATTATCTTTTCGTTAATATTTATAAAACATACCTCCACGGAAAGGTCCACCACGACCACGGAATGGTGGTCGTCCGCCACCTCGTCCGCCACGGAAACCGCCACGTGTATTATATTGTCGGCGATCAGCTGCATATTTTGAACCTTGTACACTGTCGCCATTAGGACCAGTTACATTTGCGGCTTCATAACCTTTTTCACCTAAACGAAAGAAAAAAAACCGCAATTTTTACGCATGAGAAAAAAATTTTCTAATCAATTACCTTGTACAATATCAAATTCGACTTTTTCTTCATCACCAACACTACGTAAGTACTTGCGTGGATTGTTCTTAACAATAGCTGTTTGATGAACGAAGATGTCCTCGTTAGTATCTTCTCTAAATTTTAAAAGCAAAAAAAAAAAATGAATTTTTCTATTAAATTTTTACAAATAAAATTTACCGATGAATAAATCCATAGCCGCTCTTAACATTGAACCATTTGACTGTACCAGTCACTTTTGTTGCTAGAATAAAAAAAAGCAACAAAAAAAATTAGTTATCTTATCTTACAAGCTGTTGCTTGTTGCATTTCATTTATTAAACGCGCACAGTATGATGAAGAAATAGAAGAAGAAAAAAAAAGAGAAAAACAACTTGTTTCTTACCGATGACATTTTTACCATTGATTTGTTTTGGATCATCAGTGCCCGAACCGGCTTGATCTTGTTGTTTATTGGCATCAGATTTTTGATCTGATCCAGTATTTTGGTTTGTTGCCACGTCGTTGGATGACATGTTAACCTAATTAATAATTATTTTGTTTTTATTTATTTATTTGTTTGTTTGTTTGTTTGTTAATGAGCGCGGTTGGTTCACGACAAAGATGTTTGTTTTATTTTCGTTTGGGCTGTTGCTGCGCTTGATGTTAAATTTTTTTGTAAAACGCTCGGGCGCGTATGATGGTGTTGGTGAATGGGCTTGTGCTGCTCTTATTCTAACGCATCTGAATGATGAATGATACGACCATTTTTGTAGACAGCAAAAACACGCGCCGAACGCAACAAGAGAAAAAGAGCGAAAAAGAGAAAAGAAAATCTATTTTTCACTCTCTTTGTATTAGTTATCGTGCATTCGACACGTGATTATGATAGAAAAGAAGAAGAGAAATTTTGTAAAGCATAGCAGCCCTTCTCCACTAAATATAAAGAGAACGATCTGGAATTATTATAGGGTCGATGCAACAGCAGTACTACATATATATTCTGTTGTCCAGGGGGTAAAAATGAAGAAGAGAAAAACGAGAAGAAGAAGAAGAAGAAGAAACGACTTTACATTTGAATACGTGCCAAGAAAAGAAAAAAAAGAAGAAGAAACATAATGACGACATCTACCCTTTCGCTGTATCATCGTTCTTGCACTTAGTAGAGATCATATTAGGGGATATATCTCGATCATTATCCAGGGGTCAGGCCAAATATGTATGAATGCCCTGAGAAACAAGTTCACAATTTTATTTATATATAAAATCAATAAGGATAAATTTTATTTGTTTGTTTATTTTTAAATTGTTTTCAATAAATAACGATAAATATTCTTAGTCGGTTAAAGGTCGAGCTTTCAACGTTAATAAAAGAATAACATTTGGATAGCTGTTTGATATTGGATTTTCTTTCAACCATTACTATTAATGGAAATATATTTATTATTTTTAGAAAATGTACGAATAGTCTATTTGAAATAATAGACAGAAAATTATATGATAGAGACTTTTTTTGTAAATTAATAACTAAGTAATTATCATTTATTTGTTCTAATTGTACTAGAAAATCATTAAGATCAAATGCATATTTTGAAAATTTTCTGTGATATTATAGTTATATATGAGGAATTGGTTCGGTTCATTTGTTTTCAGAATAGATGGATTGTCTCCTAATAATTAAACTTGTCGGTTGAGAAGGAAATGGAACTAGTTGCAAAAAAAAAGTAAAATATAAATGGATTTTGTTTGTATGTGTTAGATCACATTAAGATCGGCTTGTTTGAGACAACAGAAGACGAGGAAAATAGTAACTGAAAGAAGAAGCACTTACGCTAAGGGAAATATGAAATATTTACTGATATTTTTACATAAGTGATATTCGATGACAAACATTGTTTTAATGCTTGTGTTGCCTAAAGATAGTTGTAATTGTAGGTCATTCATAAAAATAATGCATAATAAAAATTTCCATTAAATAATTGTTTCTTTCGCGAGATATTCTTTATATCAATACTATTGGAATGTCAGTATAGCATATTTATAAGATCAACAGGAGATAGAAGAATATATTGTGAAGAAGTCTGATATAAGAAAAATGACAAATTAAAATTTTATTGACTTATTAATTATGTAATGTAGTGTTCAAGAATATCTGCAGACAATGATCTCATAGCTTCTGATTTAAATGCATAGAATAT